AAAAAAAAAACTGGAAAAGGTGAGAACAAGGTGGAAGAAAAGGCTGCTCACAAATTAATGCAGTTCTAGTTTGCCATCTACTTCCAATTCCAGCTAAACGGTGGATTTGAAATGAGCGCAAGTTCTTCAGTAATATTTTGCCACTTGTTTTCGAATTTTGCAGCTTTAATTGAATTTCGAATGAACCAGCCTTCTACTGGAAAATACTGTAAATTTAACGCGCTGTCTTTCAAATATGATAGAAATTTTTCGAAAACGAACCAAATGGCAGCGCTGGAGGACCAGTTAGCAAATGACAAAAGATGAATTTTGATACGAAAATAAAAATAACGGTATGTGTAATTATAGGTAAATATTGGATAATTGGCCAAAATGTTAGGTATGAGCAACGATAAGAATACAATATCTGCTATTGCTAATGCCGCTAGAAAACTATTGGATCTGAAAAAACAATAAAAAATTGCACAGTTAACACAAAAAAATTCATGTAAAGCTATTAAATTTCAATAACCTTGTTACACGCGAGATCCCGGGGCGTACGAGCGAAGATTTTAAAAAGGGCGAGTGACACACGAGATGAAAATATGTTCTCAAAATTTCATCCTACCAGCTTTCCTGGTTGCTAAGTTTAAAGTAGATGACAAAGTTCACTCACTTCCGAACACACACGGATGACCTCTCGACAGTTTGCGTTTTTGCTCTCTGTAGCAGCGCTGTAATACTGCACAGCAAAAACCCATAATAATGAAGTCCAGCTCATCAGTCTTATACTATTCTTGTTCAACACCAATTTGTGTGCCAAATCAAATCATCAAAACTAGGCGGTCAAGCTCTTAGCCTAAACCAGTAGAAAAACACCTATCCAATAGCACGATCCCCTTTTGGTTGACTCTCCTGTCCACTGGGATGTCGAACGACTTCATTTGGAGAGTGCTGCTTTGATCTGATTGGGAGTATCTTCGTGCTACGGTTGCAAATGACGACATTCTGCAGCAACACTGCATTAGGTGGCAATCAAGAGTCAGCAAACAACTTTATGTATGAGTTCTGCGCAAAACTGCTTCAGTGGTCCATAATTGACAAAGTAATTAGGCAGGCTGCGATTGAAAGGTCTGAAAGTTTCGGGTCATTTTAACTAGCACAGAATAAGTAACCTGCTTCGCATTGACCGATTGAGCAAAACAGTAAGATTGAGCACGTTGCCAGTGATGCCGAATGCGGCAATGCAGGGATACACAAAGCGCTGCAGGTATTTCTCCGCTTCATTCCCGTGCATCCGCATTTGCTGCTGTGTCAAGCAGACTTCGGAAAAATTCATTGACATTTCTGGAATTTCAACTAAAGCATACCAGTCTGATCGAGTGGTGGACTAGCAAAGAGTTTTTTTTTTCCACAGCCGTCAACTTTTTTGTAAAAAATTAAACTTCGACAAATTATTTCTACTGTTTTCGGTTAACATTTTTTACGAAGTTGCATGTTATGCTAATATGACTCTATGTACTTGAAACGAAGTCTTTCCTCTGCGCTTGGATTCAAAGTTCTTGTAAGCTCCTATGCAATTATTCTAAAGTGGGCCTTTTTAAAGAATAACGGCCATTGCGGAGAAGTGGGAGGTTGTAAAAATGTTTTGCATCGACCTGTCCATATTTGTAACGTGCGCGTGCATGGTGGTTGAATTTAAAATCTTCAGCTTACAAAAGAGCAAATAGAAAAATAGAAAGCTCAGTATCTTAAAGAAAAAAGTAGCTCTTTGCATTTCGCTTTGCTAGCCAGACGTAAAACACAAATAACCACATAAAGTTGGAGGCAAGTGCTATTTATAATTTGCAAAAAGCTATTCCGGAAGCTCCAGTAGGTGCAAAAATGCAGCATAGTTGTTTCTGAACAGGACTAACGCACCAAAAATTCAAATTTATGGCTCAGCTTGCTCCGCAGTTATAACAGTATCCAGCACGAAAACATGTGATCACAGGCCTGGCAGCTGTAAGGTATCAAAGCAATCCGATTTCAGATTAATCATGCTCATTACATAATAATCTATACTCCCAAAACACAAAAAAGTCCTTCATGTATACAGCAGATGCTCGCTGCTCCAGACGTATCCGTTCACGTCTGCTTTGTAAAAGTGTTAATTTTATTCGGAGGCGTTCATGCAGAAAAATGCAAGCCAACAGCCGTTATTATTTGAAAAGTTCATTTTCGAAATTTTCTTCTCCCACATGTGCTACCTTTGAAGCCCATTAAAGCTAAAGAACCTTTTACTCCTATTTCGTCGGTGCAGTGAAATGAAGAGCAACACCCTGGAGCAGTTCAGCGCAAACACGCTTTTCTTGCGCTACTTCATTCAGTGGTTATTTGTTACTGAGCTGAATTTAGCGCGCGTTTTGCTCGCAAATATTTTAGCCGCTCTTTCGTAACTCGGTCTTTGAATTTTCTTTTGCATTTCCAGAGGACAAAAAAAGAGTTGAAGAAATTTCGCGTCATAATGGCATAGAAGGTCTGAAATTGTCTTCCTGTCACGGCATTTTGACGTTGAGCCTTGCGTCACATTTAGTAGGCAGATGAACTACCAAGCTGACCCGCAGAATTGCCCAC